TGTGTCCTTTTTAAAATGCTTCTAAAAAAAACCCCCATATTTTGTGTGATCCCCAAGTTAAGATTATTCTTGTTTTTTTCTGTTGACAGAATTCCCAAATAATTTCTCCAGTTTTATTATTTTAGCCCAAATTGTGCAAGTTGGTTTTCAAATTGCCTCATCTAACGATTTAGTTAGTTAATAGACCCCAAATGTTGCATATACTGACATTTTCTACCCATAATTTTGTAGTTCACACAAACCAATATTGCCATTTTTCTATTGCCGTCTTTTTCCTTTTATTTATTATTTTTAAATGGCACACCATAGAAAATAGCTTTAGAATTCTCAATTATTGGAAATAAATTCAGCATCATATATTCTCAGTGTAGTTTGTGTAATTCATAAAATCAAAATTAGACTTTTAATACATTTCCTTTTCTGAGGTTTTGCTAAATTTTAGTAAAGAGATCTTTTTATTTATCAGAAACAGTGTGAAGAACCAGAGATATTTTTTTTTTTTTGCTAAATGTGTGATATAATTAGCACTGAATATAATTATTGCAAATCTGGTACATTCTTAACCCTTTGCCCATGCTAGCTTTGTTGAATGATCTGGAGAATAGTTTTTTTTTAAGTTGTTGAAAATGTTCTTGATCAATAAGCATTAGTTAGCAATTTGTGTGCATGTTTTCCATTTCTTTACAGTATTAGCCATTCGAATACCGGAATTTATGATGCAGATGTTCTATAAATATCTACAAATTTTATATCCATTTTCCCCTAGAGTGCAAGCAAAAAGTTGGAGATATAACATAGCAAACACTATATCACAAAATTCTATTTAAATCAGCGTAAGCAATGACCACACCAGTTGAATTCTAAATCCCTCAAATCATTCAGTCGTCATTTATAGCAACCTGAAAAAAAAATGTTTTTGTCGTTGGTTTACCATTCAAAAAACTGTAATTGTGACCACTTTTTCAATCTTAAAGAATGGTAAATTTTTACCTTTGCAAATTCCAAATTCATCACCAAAGTCATCTTCTTCTGTAAAGAACTGGCACTTTAAACCAGGCCCGCATTTAACTCCATCCATGCCAGAAACTGTACGGTAACAGGTTTCGCCAACACCTGCGGCACAGACTCTGCAGCAGCCACAGTCATCCAGCACGGTCCTCTTGCAGCGTGTAGTGCTTTTGCAGTCATGGCTATCACAACGTTCAGGGCAGTCCACTGCGTACTGTGCTCTCCATGCACTGCCAAGGTGCATATTAATCAAAAGGGTTAGAACAATAATACACGACTTCATATCTCCCGTAAAATGAAATGTTAATGTTGGTGTCCAGACACAGAGTACTGTTCGCAGCCTTTTGCTGGTTACAGGAATGAATCCAAAATAGTAGCTGAGCATCAAACTACAAATTTCAGAGCTTTATACATTGCCTTCCCACATGCTTGTCAGTCGTCAGCTTCCTCAATCCGGCAGTGCTGTCCCATTGCCAGCCTCCCGTGCTTTATTTCAAGGGCTCCAGGATGGAGGTTGGATTAGCAAGCTGCTGCCATTCAGGAACCGAGAAGACTGAGCTGATGTCATTTGTTATGTTTAGATAAGTTGTTTTTTGCAACAGCAAAGAAAAGAAAAAGCCTCATCCTTATCTAAAGTACTTAAATATATCTCAGAGAAGAGAAACTATAATGAACAAAACAGGGCTAGTAAAGTGATTGGCACTTGATTTTTATTTTTTTTCATGGGATGTATACTGAATAATTGCACAGTAAACAGTGTAAAGAAAAATGATTTTCACAATAATTCGCAGTATGCATATTAATTTTCTAAACTGTTTTTAACTATTCCTAATAAAGATAGAGCATATTTTATTCCCCTGGACCTTCTTACTGTACATATTGATTCCTGGACATATTCTAAAGTGGGGAATATGATATAGTCCATTTATTAGCATTTATTGACCATACAGTGTACACTATTTTGTTCTGTTTTTTTTGTTGCATAAACCCTCTGAAGCCACACAAATATCCTTGAGTGGGGTACCACTCCACACTTATTAATATTAGTAGGAGTTGTTTTGAGGCTCCATAAAATGTGAGTGCATTCTCACACTTCAAACCAGGTCCAGATTTAACTCCATCCATGTCAATGGTACCCCACACATATATCCTTGAGTGTGGTACCGCTCCACACTTATTAATAGGAGTCATATGGTGGCTCCATAAAATGTGAGTGTATTCTCACACTTTAAATCAGGCCCACATTTAACTCCATCCATGCCAGAAACTGTATGAAACCATCTTACTTCTACACACAGCGCCATTTATTTAATATACTGCACTATATAGGAATGTGTTTTGTTCTCTGCTTGATCTATTCCATAAGCTACAGAACATTGATTTTTCCATAGATCAAGATACACATGCTCATTATTACATTTATAGATTGTCTGTCACACCCAAATTTTAGATAAGTAAAAATAACAGGTGTAGTGATGTCCCGAACGGTTCGCCGAACGGTTCGCCATGGACGGCGAACATATGACCCTGTACCTCACAGTCAGCAGACACATTCCAGCCAATCAGCAGCAGACCCTGCCACCTCTGGACAGCTCACTAAGAATGCAGCTTCCAGGAGGTGGGAGGGTCCGTTCGGGACATCACTAAACAGGTGTAAACACTGCCTCTTATTAGTACACTCCTGCACTTTCTTAGCCCATAAAACTTAATATTTACCCTTGTGCTACATTCTTGTGGACTATTGGACTGCAATTATATATTTACAATATCTTGTTCCCATTTTTATATTAACAAGATCCCATACATGGACTTATTCAGGACTCATTACCTAATTCCGTTTTGAGTGTATATGAATTTAATTCATTTTGATATATTATATTACTATTGTATTTTATTTTAGCTCCTGGATACCTTTCATCTTATTTGTTATAAGTGATACTGATATACCTGTTTCTTTAGGGATTAGTGGTGACCACCCTCTCCCCCTCCCCATCCATTCCAGTTTTAGAGCTATTTATTTGACTAATTGTGGTTTTATCTACTGTTTACTTTATAAACATACTTTTACTCCCTCTATTATAAGAGTCAGATTACTCATTTCTGTATTACAAGCACTTTCCTTCTTTCCACTTTTCTGTGCTTTTAATACTTTGATTTGTATTTTGTGTCTTTTATTATTGTTATTATTTAATATTTACCCTCCCTTCACTGCTCTTGATATTCCAATTATTTTCAATTTACTTTTTCACAGTTTAGCAATGATCTGCCCTCTCCTCCTCTTTATTTCTTCCTTCTCCCTCAGTATAAAAATTACTAGTATATAATTCTCTTTATAATTCAATATGAGTCTCAACAATGTCAAAGAAAGAGTTAATAGGAGAAATGATTTCCCATTGGAGGATAATCCACCTACCAGACCATTAGGGATGGATACTAAGAAATATGTTGAACATAAATTTATACCTCGAACCTGAGATTTGACAAACAGCCCTTCTTTAATGATCATATTAAGTTGGAAAAAGAGTGGCTTGGTACATTGGATAATTGCTCGTTGATATTAATGCAAATTTTAATCAGGTACAGGCAATCTAGGATAAAAGTATCTGAGACTAAAATTGATCAGCTACAAACTCAGATTGGCTCAATATCAGGGGATGAATCATTAATTAAGGACTTAGACTATTCAGTCAACCAAAAAATTATTTAATTTGAGGAGTTAATAAGCAGAAAAAACTCTATGTTTCAAAGGGACAAAAAAGACTATAAGAATGGGACTATTAGAAACTGGCAAAGGAAAGAGAGCCAGCTTAGACACACAGAGAGACCTACTTCTCAACCTAGGATGAATAATACTACATCTGTTAAATATTCTACATCTACTAAACCGAACTTTAGAAATAAACAGCTACATACTGGCCATATGCTGATGCTGTGAAATCTCCAAGGTTCCATTCTAAGAACAGATATGACTTCTCCCCATCCTACAGAAGTAGAAATGACAAACGCCTCTTGAACAATCCCAATCACATCCCCATTCACCATCCCAAAGTCAATATGGGCCATGACCAGGGCCGGCGCTACCTGTAAGGCGACCTAGGCAGCCGCCTAGGGCGCAACTTAGCAGGGGGCGCCGGATCCTTGCACCAGGAATCAATGGTGCGGCTCCTCATGCTGCGCCGCCTGAGCGCTTTTACAAGCCTCAGGCGGCGCAGCACTGCTGTGGAGGGCGGCCGGATTTGAGTGACCGGCAGGAGGGAAGCGCAGAGCGATCCCTCCCACCGGTCTCTCAATGTAGCGTGGCCGGGAGGCGCGGATTGTGGGACAGGAACCTCTGTTTCCTGTACCCGGCCACCGGCGTACTGACAGGAAGTGCTCACTGAGTGAGCACATCCCTGCAGTCCGCCGGCGGCCGGGTACAGGAAACAGAGGTTCCTGTCCCACTTTCCGTGCCGCCCGGCTACGCTACATATGCGGGAGGGAAGAGGAGGGCAAGGACCACCTGGGGAGGGGGGTATGTAAGGACCACAGGGGGATGGGAGGGGGGTAGGTAAGGACCACAGGGGAGGTGGTGAGAGTGGAACCACCAGGGAGGTAGGGACCACAGGGGAGGGAGTTAGGACCACCAGGGAGGTGGTATGGACCACAGGGAGGTAAGGACCACCAGTAGGTATGGACCACAGGGGGAGGAGGGAGGTAGGACCCCAGGGTATGGGGGAGGGAGGAAAGTAGGACCACCAGAGGAGGTGGGGTAGGACCAACAGGGAGGGGCAGGTAGGACCACCAGGAGGTAGGACCAGGGAGGGAGGTAAGGGCAGCAGGGGGGGGAGTAAGGACCACTGGGGGGAGAGTGGGAGTAAGGACCACTGGGAGGAGGTGGGAGTAAGGACCACTGGGGAGGGAGGGGAGTAAGACCACTGGGGGAGGGGGGAGTAAGGACCACTGGGGAAGGGGGTGAAGGACACAGGAGGGGGGTGTGGAGTAAGGACCACTGAGGGTGGGGAAGTAAGGACCACTGAGGGAGGAGGGGGGAGGTCCACTAAGGGGTTTGGGAGAGGGAGGACCACTAAGGGGGGAAAGGACCACCAAAGGGGGGTAAGTAGGGAGGACCACTAAGGAGAGGGGAGGAGGGTAAGGACCACTAAGGGGGGGGGGAGAAAGAGGATAATGACCACTGAGGGGGGGAGATTACCACTAAGGGGGAGGAGGGGAATGTCTACTAAGGGGTTTGGGAGAGGGAGGACCACTAAGGGGAGGGATGGAGGACCACTAAGGGGGAGAGGGGGGAGTGAGAAGACCACCAAGGGGGGACTACAGGGGGCCAAGGGAGAGCACTAAGGGACAGGAGAGAAGGGGAAATCAATAATTGACAGGAGGGGAGAGCACTATGCAAACATTTAAAAAAATAAAGAGCTGCTCCCCTCTCAGTCCCTATCCTACCCCACAAACCCTCTCTTTTACACTACACACATACACACACACACAGAAACATACAATGCATTCCTACTCACACAGACACACCAGACACACCAGAAACACATAATGCATCCCTTACGTTCACACAAAATCATTCTCTTACACACCGAAACAAAATGCATCTCTTACACAATCAATGCACCCCTTACAGACACACACTGCATTCAATTAAATACACAGAAACACACCTTGCACCCCTTACACACACACCCAGAAACAAGCATTCCTTACACGCAAACACACACTGCATCCCTTACAGAAATTGGTATCCCTATACACTACATTCTATAAGAACACACACACGTTGCATCCTCTACAATAACACATAAAACATCCCCTACACACATACACTCCACTTCCTGTGAGAGAACTCATGGGTGGGCCATGTAGCTGGATTTATGGGTGGGCATTGTAGGCATACTCACGGTCAAGCCCTGGGGGCCCAGACCATGAGCTGTGTAAGGGGCCCAAAAAAATGGAGCTGCTTCCTGTTCGTTAATTGTTGTGAGCACTGTTAAAAACAGTCTCCAGAGAGCCTCTTCTACACCAGACCTGTGGAGTCAGACAGAGCCCATCATCAGCCTCTTGTCCTCATCTGGTGGTAAGTAGGCAATCCAATATATTATTAGTGGCACTAATCTCTCATTTACCTCACATTAAATGGATACTATAGTCACCAGAAGCACTACAGCATAATGTAGTGGTTCTGGTGTTTATAGCCTGTGCCTGTAGGCTTTTTAATGTAAACACACTGTCTTTTCAGATAAAAGACACTTTGTGAAGACTGGCGTTGGCCCATATGGCAGAGCATATGGGCGGGGCATTGTGATGTCACATGATGGACAGGACATATGGGGGGGGGCGGCAACATTTTTTTTGCCTAGGGCGGCAAAAATCTTTGCACCGGCCCTGGCCATGACATATTCAACCCACTAATATATTAGATCCATCTCACACCCATCCTTGAGGGGCACGTTCTAAGACTAGAAATCCCCCTTCAGATTCTAATGATTTTTTAGAGATGGAACAGGGGGGAAATTCTCAAATCTTTCCCCTCTTTACAAGCTCCATCCGGAGAAAAGGAATAGCACCCATGGAGGAACAAGAGGAAGTGGAAAACCCCAATCCCAACAAGATACAATGCCTTCCGTGAAAGGTATCTTTAACATCTCCTCCCACACACTTAGCATGGCGGAAATCTCCCTTCTCAATAAAGGATTGACCTTTGCACCTATGAGATACCCAGTCATTATTGACTTATTCAAAGATCTTAATTCATTTGTGAGGAACACAAATAGAAAGAAACAAGTCCTGCGCTCAAATTCTCATTACTCCTGGGCGGCAGCAACGACCATAGTACACATCAGCCAAAATACATACAGTAATAGCCAAAGGAAAAAAGTTACCTGCACTCTTTCCACACCCCTATGTATTTTTAATAAAATGGAGGTTTTTAGTTACCTCCAATGGCCATGAGAGGATAAGCTCACCTGCCACGTCAACGCAGACCTCTTAGGTGGGTCCTAACTCTAACCATTCACCTTACTTCCTTGAGCTACTGGCAAAGATATCTCTAATGAGACAGAAATTGGTATTTTTTATATACATCCCTACATGCTTATTAACCCTTAATAGGGAACACATGGGATGGGCAGCAGCATTGTAATCTAGCTGTGTGATACAAAAGTGAATACAAATACAAAGAAACTAGTCCTGCGCTCAAACTCCCATTACTCTTGGGCAGCAGCAACAACCATAGTACACATCAGCCAAAATACATATAGTAAAAACCAAAGGAAAAAAGTTACCTGCGCTCTTTCCACATCCCTATGTATATTTAAACAAATAGAGGTTTAATGGCCATGAGAGGGTATGCCTACCTGCCACGTCAAGGCAGACCTCTTGGGTGGGTCCTAACGCTAACCATTCACCTTGCTTCCTTGAGCTTCTGGCAAAGATATCTCTAATGAGACAGGGATGTGGAAAGGGCGCAGGTAACTTTTTTTCTTTAAAAGAAGAAGCTAATAGTTTGGAACTCTGTCCTAGATCATTCAATGATCCACAAGATATAATCATCTTAAAAACTTGTTGTCTTTACTGCAGGAACAGAAGTCCACCCTCTAAGAGATTGATGCACTTGAAGTCATCAATGATAAAATTGCCTCGGGTCTCAAGGCACCGTCCATGTACTACCCTACCTCTGATAAAGGTCACTTTATAACTATTTTTTATGAATTGGTCCTGAAAGATTTTAGGATCTTGGAAAAATTCATAAAACAAGATGGGACCAAAGCTAACAACCTCAACAATAGAGAGATTGATGCCCTAAAAATCTTAAAAATAATAAAGAAATTATAATAAAAAATGCAGACAAGGGAGGGTGGATTGTTCTACTTGATAGAGATCAATACCTCAAGGAATCCCTAAGAATCTTAGGTGATGAAAATTACTATGTGAAACTAACCTCTGACCCCACATTACGTTTCTCTAAGGAATTACGAACAACTCATTGAAGAGGCCTTTTTGAAAGAAACAATAGATAAAAAAAAAAAAGAATACTGCTTGTCTTCGGCTGGGGATATCTCCATCTTCTATTACTTACCCAAAATTCATAAGAGTATTTTAAATCTCCCAGGCCATCCGATTATCTCCTCCATTGGATCTCTAACTGCCCCTATGTCTAAATGGGTAGATTTCCACCTCCAGCGCTATGTTCCTAATTTACCCTCTTATATACAAGACACTGGTCATGTATTATCTCTTATGGGAGAGTTAGATTGAAGACTGACTATACCTGGGTTACGATTGATGTTACTTCTTTATACTCCAACATCGAAAGCTCTACAACAATTTTTATTTGCTGATCCCCTTTTACCTCCGACCCAAGCTCAAACTAGTATAGATTTCACATATTTTATACTTACACGTAATTATTTTACTTTCAAAGATTGTTTTATCTTTAGTAGGAGGAGAGCAATGGGAGCGTGTTTTTCCAACTTATTTATGGGTTTCTGGGAGGAGTCACATGTCTTACAGAACACACAGTGGAACAATCACCTTGTTTTTTATCGTCGATTTATCAACAATATTTTAATTATTTTTAATGTTGTTGTTTTGTAGTAACAAGTCCTGCAAGGGTTATTTTGCTTTATCCTATCACACCTAATCCCACCTCTTATTTGAGGTATTTAAAAAACATCAGTGGAGGTTGTATCCAGTCTTGATAAAATCTCCTTGAAGAGATTAAATGCGTAGCCTGACCTCCACGTATTATCATAAGGATTTTTATCAGCACTCTGACGCTGTTCCATATTTATTTGCCGCGGCCTTTTGTAAAGTTACCAGCCGTGGCGTACCACGTGGTCCCAGTCAGCTGTGCTCGCTTTGTGAAGAAAGACATCAGAGGACTTCATCCTACATCTACCTTCTACTGGATGTCACTGCCGCATGGTACAGGTACCAGGGTTTGAGCTTTTACATACTTCAGCATCATTATTCTCGCCTAAGCATACTTGTCACAGCACAAGCTGTTGTGGGGAAACTTTCAAATAAGGGGGGCCCCCACCGATAACATTATCAACTTTTGTGCTAGCTTATTTATTATCTATACATTTTTTTGTGTCTATTTATTGAGCACTGCTCTTTGAATAGCTTAATTTCAATTTTATTTTATGCTTTTACTATTCTATTTATTTTTTATTTTACTACTGTCCAGTGGTGGACTAAGGGGGGAGCGGAGGGGGCGGTCCACCCCGGGTGCCTTAACCCTGGTCTTGGGGCTGGAGGGGGCTGTGTGAGCTGTGCCCCATGGCAGCTGGGGTGTCGCACAGCTCACACGGAGAGACCAGCGAGATGAACTGGCCGCACGGGAGGAAGAAGGGGCGGAACTACGTCCGTTTAGGGCCGAAGCCTAACCGCGAGCGTGGGCGGGGCTTAACACAGCCCTTACAAGCTGCTGTAACTGCTGCACATGGAGGTGCGCTCACACTATATTTCTATTTAATATTTACCCTACCTTCACTGCTCTTGATATTCCAATTATTTCCAATTAACTTTTTCCCAGTTTAGCAATGATCTGCCCTCTCCTCCTCTTTATTTCCTCCTTCTCCCTCAGTATAAAAATCTCTCCTTACACCCGCTTCACTCATCCCCCCAACAACATTTACATATGGCCCTCTCTGCTACACTCCCCCCTTCTCTCATCTTATGCCTTGCACTCATTTTTCTACTCTCTCACTCCTACCCACAATCGATCTCATCCTAGACCCCATGCATTCAAAACCCATTCACACCCCCTGTCACTTTCTCTCCTCCTGCTTCTAGCAGCTGGTGATGTCTCCCAATCCAGGGCCCTTCACCTTCTCTACACACACAAAGAAAACCAGAAACCCAACAAACCTCATCACAATAGCCTGCCCTTTACCCTCTTTTGCAGTTAACACTGTCTGCCTATTTAAACCCACTCCTTTAAGAATTGCTATCATCTACCACCGCCCGTTCATCCTAGGCTATTCATTGAGCACTTTTCTTCCTGGCTTCCCCACCTCCTCTCATCTAGCACTCCTTCCCTTATACTTGGGGATTTCAATATCCAAATCAACAACCTCAACTGCACTGAGCCTCTCGTCTGCTCTCTATAATCTCCTCCTTTGGCCTTACGCAATGGTCCAATTTAGCAACCCATACAGCGGGAAACACTCTAAATCTCGCCTTCACCAATCTCTGAACCGCCTCTAATCTTTCCAGTATTCCTTTTCCTCTATCTGACCACCATCTGCTGACTTTTGACATCGGCATACTTAAGACCCAATTGACACCACCGTCTGAACATCAATCTCACAGAGACCTCTAATGTCTTGACCAAGAGCATTTTTCCACTAATCTTCAAAATCACATTTTACCCATCTGAAACCTCACCTCTTCAACATGGATGCTGTCCAGGAGGTGGGAGGGTGTGGGAGGGAGGGTCTGCTGGAGATTGGCCGGGATGTGTCAGCTGACCGGAGCTCGCCGCGAACAGCTCGTGACGAACCGCGGCGAGCCGTTCGCGGGAAGTTCGCGAACGGTTCGCGACATCTCTACAAGTAATGTCAGAAACACCTCACTGGCTGTCAATCATACAACCAAGGAGCTTTTCTTCTTAATTATGTCCATGGAG